TTAGACTAATGGGTGTATTTTTGGTATGCAGTTATAGATGGATGTGTAGCTGGCACAATACAATTAGGGGGCCTACAAGAAAGCTGGGGAGGGACTTTTTGGGGTATCGGGTAGTGACAGGACTAGGGGGAATGGGGCAAAGCTGGAAGTGGGTAGATTTAGACTGGATGTGAGGAAGGAGTTCTTCATCATGTGAGTGGTGAGACCCTGAATGGGTTGCCCAGGGAGGTGGTTGATGCCCCATCCCTGGGGGTCTTTAAGGCCAGGCTGAATAAGGCTCTAGACAGCCTGATCTAGTGTGAGGTGTCCCTGCTCATGGCAGAGGGGTTGGAACTGGGTGATCCTTGTGGTCCCTTCCAACCCTGACAGATTCTGATCTGTTTTAGCAGAGGACTTAGTAGTGTTGGCTTAATGGTTGGACTTGGTGATCTTGGAGGTCTCTTCCAACCTAAAGGATTCTATGATTCTAATAAACAGCTGGTATGCGATAACGGTACCCAAGCAGTCAGTGGCAGAAATGTAATGATTTTTCAAAATCTTTATTTGCAATTTAGCTTAGGGTTCTTTGTGTTGGAAATTCCTTGTCCGCAGCCACTTGTCTGTTGACTTTTATCCCTTGCTTGTCTCATATGCTTCAGATCCTCAGATAGTGTTGTCTTGAAATGAGAGAACATGACCAAAAACATCATGGTTATTTATATAGCCATAATAACCTGAAAGAAACTAACAGTGAATGGCAGAGAGAAACAGAGATTGATGTTCTAGGGACAGCACTAAGATGGCATATGCAGGAGGTTAGCTGGAGCTGCTTGACTGGTTTTTGTGCCTGTCTTCTGCAGGCAAAACTAAGCTTTAACAGTAGAAGTGTTAGCATTAATTCATTTCTGAAAATGTTTGCAACAACTGTGCTCTGTATTGTGAGTCTTTGCCATGGTGCCAAGCAGGCTGCTTTAAACAAATACACATATTTACGTGGAAAAAAAAGTTGCTCAGTACATTCGTTAACCTCCCCTTTGTGTGCTGCTTTCTTTTGCATGTTAGTCCACATTTGTCCTTTGCTGCTGCACTTGCTTATGGTCATACTCTGCGAGGGACGAAGCACCCAGCAAGCGGTGTTCTCTGCCATGCAGTGGGATTCTGGAGGGTGGTGACTTGTCTGCACTGCGGTGATGTGGAGACCTTCGGTCACCATCATTCTGGGGATGCAGCTGAGCTAAGCTCTGTGATAGCAACTGCACTAGAGGAAGGAGCTCTTCATCTGCCTGGCTAGATGATGTGAATGAGAAAATTGATTTTAAATAAACTGGAAAAACAGAATCCTTGCTTCATTTAGACATGTTTTAAAAATGGTTAGCAAGGTCCTGTCTTGTACTGGATGTCCTAGCACTGATTTTTGTAAGCTTTAACTTCTGTTTTTCTGTCTTGTGATGCTCCTCCTCTATGCTTAAATCATACGCTCATTTCCATTCGAGCCCTGGCCCTTGCATCCCAGGGCTCGTTTTGTTCAAGAAGAGACAGATGAGGTGTCGAGAGGTTGAAGGCGGTGTCCAGGACTGTTTGGCAGACCCAGGCACTGAATCCTGACTGATTCTGCTGTTGGATGGAGACTAACTCTGATTTACATCTCCAAGGGAGCTACTCTGTCTTCTGCAGAAAAAAAGACGAAGGCTGTGGGAGTCCCCTTGTGTAGACATCTCTGAGTCCCTTCCATGTTTCCGCTAGCCATGACCCATAAGGTCTCAGAGGATGTCAGTACTTGGAGTAGGCTGTGGGGCATCTTTGTGTTGACTGTGACCTTTCTCTTCTTACCTGGGATTGAAAGTGTCGCTTCCCTTGCTTAGTCTTCTAATTTTAATATCAGCATACACTTGGCATGACAGTGCATCTTCTAGGAGTGTATCTGTCACGGATGCCACTACAGACCTGTGGGCTTCCTTCCACCATCCCAGCAGACTTTACGCAGCACATTGTAGCGCATGAGCTAAGCACTTGTAGGGTTGTTATTTTATTTCCCATTCATTTTATGAACAGAAAACATCTAAAACTAGAGGAGCTTAGTGCAGAGAGTTGCAGTTGCTGCTGAATAACATAATGTAGCAATCAAAGGAGAGGCAGTGACCTTGTAATTCATTTGAATGATTCTTTTATTTGCCTTGAGAATTTAATGTCAATCCTCACAGGATTATTGGAAGATAAGATAAATAATCATAGGAGAGATTAATTGATTTGCAGAGTATGGGTCTGACTTATCTCACCTTCTCTGCAACGATACGTGGAAGCAGACCGTGGCACGCAATAGCAAAATTCTCACAAAGATGGCCAGAGAAGCATCACTTATTGTGGGAGAAACTCTTGAGATTCGATGTCCCTCTTTCAGATTCAGTTCAGTGCGATGACTTTTTTTTTTTCTGGACTGGCATATCATGCTGTCCCCTGTCAGGGGTAGAACAAGCATTGCATGATAAAGATATGAGGACTTCAGTCTGCATTTAAGTGCCTTTAAAGACCTGATCCTGCTTCCCATTTATTTTAAGCATGAGTAAGTTAGCTTTGTGGCAGTCAGTAGTGCTGTGTCTGTGTGATGTCACTGTTCCTAGTTCTTTCATGAACATTTCATAGTCTGGATATCTTTATCCAAATTATGACCTACATTCATTTCAGATGCTTTGGATTGTTTTTTATTTCACAGGCAAAGTATATCTAGCTTGGTTAGTTGGGGCTTTTTATCTCTGCATGGGTGAAAACTCAGGTTGATGCTTTTCTTTGGTCAGATCCACTATTAATGATTGTGGAATATAGTGGATTCTGTATCTAGAGCACAGTATGAAGCTGGCTTTGGCTGGAAGACACACTGTGTAAGGTCCACCAAGTTGAAATTACCCCAGAAAAGTATTTTTTTAATACCAATTTCAGCTGGCTAATTCAGAGAGGTTGCCAAGTATCTGAGCTGGGACTTGAGATGCCCTTTGTTTAGAAGTGAGGAAGATCACAAGATGAATAAAATTCCCTGCTCCTAGAAGGAGAAGTAAATCAACTTAGGCAGGTGTCAAAGGGAACTGTCAGCCCCTTCTACAAAGCCATATGTGTGCAAGTTTTCTGTGGGTGGCAAATAAATCATTTTGCCAGCTTCTTTCGTGCTTTTAACCAAGAAAAGTAGTGCTGAGACAGTAACTCTTTCTCAGCCTTTTCCAGCTTCTTCCTGAATTCACCTCTGAAGCTGTTGCATCAGGTTGCTGGTTTGGTGACACATACTTCTGCCACTGTGTAAAAACAAAGCAAAGTTTCCTCCTCCAGCTGTGAGATCCCCTTGTTTTGATGCTCCTACCACATTAAAGCATTTGTTTCTGCTCAAAAGACAGATGTGGTGCTGTGTTCACTATGCAGATGACTGAGCAATACAGACCTTAGCTGGTATTTGAACTGGAGTTTGGTCTGGGATCAGCTGTTTGGATATTTGCTGTAATTCTTAAATGGGCTTTGCAATTTTTATTCAGATGTATCCACCCTGTTCTATAAACATGCCCTGAAAGCGTTTCATGGTGTGCTGCAATGGCTGGAGTTCTGCTGAAGTCTGTTTAGTGTGGTGAGTTACACCTGGATGTCTATTGCTTCTTGGTGCAGAATGCTCTTTGAGTTGTCCTGTATAGAATGTGGTTATCTGGTTGAGTTCAGGCTTTGGCTTGCATCTCTGGTTTCAACAGTCATGCCATCAGAGGGAATCAAAGCAGCACTGAGATCCAGACTCCTCGGTTTATTTTCTTCTAGACAGTGATGTAAAATAACCCCAGCCCTTTTGCCTGTACACCTCAGAAATGGCTTTTGCTGAAGCTGTGTTGAAACAGATTTCTAGCCATGTTTTCTGATAACTTTGAAAAGCTCAGCGAAGTCTGGGCTTTCAAGTGCCTGTTCCAAGACTAACAGCTGAAGAGAGAAAGGCTGGCTGCCACTGCAGGCGAGGAGAAGGCACGGCAGGTGCTGCGGTGGGCAGGCGAGCGTGGTGCCCCTGGGCCGGGCCGCCTCGGCAGAGCTCTCTGCCTCGCCGGTCAGCCTGCAGGAGCCGGCCCTTGCCCTGCCCCCGTGTCCGTAGCTGCCTCTCCCTCCCTTTGTCCGGTGCCGTGGGGCCTGCGGTTGTGTTGGGCACCTGGGGGCAAGAAGTGCTTGTCCCAGAGGCCCAGCGCCGTGCTGCAGGTGCTGGAGCGTAACCCGACGCCATGGCAGGAACCTCGCCCGGTCCTGAAAGTTTACTAATTGCACTAGCTGAAAGCAGTTTAATTTACACCCAAATATTTTATTTGAAATCTGCTTTTCTCACTCAGGCATTCATTTTACTTTATTGTACTGTCAGCACTTAGCAGTGAAGTAATGGCAGATCTCTGGAGAACTTTGCAGGAAGGAGAAAGCACCATTATCTCGGTTTTACAGGCCCTGCTTATGTTGAGAACATATGCGGTGGCGCAATTACACTGATGTGATTCAATCAGTGCAAATCCTTGCTAGAGGGACATGCTGCACCACTGTAAAGCGGGGCTTATTATCAGTGCAGTTTAATTCAAATTACATTACTCAATTAAGCTGTGCTAGTATAAGCCTCAGCTTAAAGCCAGGAAGTCACATGAGGGCCTTCATTTCTCCTTTGTGAAACAGATAAAGCTTTGGAAACTGAAATGGGTGAGGTTGTGTCCTGTCCAAGAGCATACTAGAAGAGGTAGGCTTGACAAATACTGTATTTACAGCACTTTCTGGGAGGAAAGAGGTCTGGGTGCAAACTCAAGGAGTTTATTGTTATTTTTTAATAGATTAAATTCTTTGTTTAAGCCATAGTGATCACTTTAGTAAAGATCCTAAATCATACTAAGGTTTTACAAATAAATTAAGTGAAATGTGTACTGAATTCTAGTAATTCTTTACCACATGGTTTTGGATTTTGATAACAGCAAGATGTGTCAATGAATAACCATGGCATGTACAACTTAATTGGATTTTTTTTTTTTTTTTGGCAGGGTGTGGGCACTGTAAGAAAATGAAGCCAGAATATGAGAAGGCTGCAGAGTTTCTCCATGTAGCCAATGATGTAAGCTAATTTCCTTTATTATATCCTTCAAATAATCAGTAATAAATAACTGGAGTAATAAAAGTGACTTTTCTCCCTACACCAAATTCAGCTGTTCTCATCCTCCCACAGGACCTTTCAAAATGTGCTTCCAAAGTACAGTCTCATCGCTAATGCATGAGCCCTGCCAAAGTCTTAGAAAGAACATTCTGTCTTGAACGAAAACAAAATCGGAAAATGTTTATGTATTCTGCTGTAGGCCTTATACATAACATGATCAAATCCAAAATGGATTTTTTTTTTGGCTACTTAAAGGCATCAAATGTGAAGAAACATAGGTGCTTTTTTATCAATTAGATTTGGAAAAAAAAAACAAAGGGGGTTGATCCCTCTTTCAAATACCCTGTTTTTATCATTGCATTACTCCATTAGCTTCATCTTAAGTGCTCCATCAGCATGGCTAGAGAAGAGATCCAATAATATAAGTATTAGTGTTATTGATTCAGTCTCACACAGTGTACTCCATACAAGAAGTAGGATTAGCCCCCCCATACTTCAAGCATCTTCAGTGGAGACATCTATAGTCCCTTTGTAGCTGTTGGCGAAGAAGGAGGAGATGAGGAAAATAAAGATCAGCTAAGTCACACTTTTAAAGTGTTTGTTCTGCTGTGACTCTAAAGGTGGTCTACTGTAAAGATGCCCACAAGTTAGGGCAAGATGAATTTGCCTTGAAATAAACGCGTCTTTAACAACCCTTGTTTCTTGTTAAAGAAACAAGTTTTGGTTGTTTCTCTGGGGTTTGTGGGAAGAAATGCCAGTCCTGGAAACTGCTCTTAAGCATTATGAAGTGAGTTGCATACAAGGAATCCTGTCAGAAATGGGAGGAGAACAGGAACATTGGTTATATTTAGTCCATAAGATGTCCCCTCCAGGTTTTGCATCAGTCCTTTGAGTCTTTCTGTGTGTCTGTGCTGAGTACCTGAGAAAGTGAAGGCCACCTAGATTATGAGCGATATCCTCCAAGTCCACTGTTTTCCTGCCCAAGGGGTTTGTCTGTATTGCTGGAGTTCACAGTTAGTGGTCTCTGTTTTAGAGTCCAGGAGTCCTTGCAGCAGTCGATGCAACCGTCAATAAGGCACTGGCAGAAAGATACCACATCTCAGGGTTTCCTACTTTGAAGTATTTTAAGGATGGAGAGGAGAAATACACCCTGCCACACCTCAGAACAAAGAAGAAGATCATTGACTGGCTGCTAAAGTAAGTTTTAAGGGTCTGGGATAGTATTTGGGTTCTTGGATCCTGGCTTCTGCAGACTGCTTTGATGAGGAATTAAATTTTAAACCTAGCTTCGTCTACTGCCTAAATCCCTTGCTAACAAACCCAAATTGAATTCTGGTATTCAAAGCCATACAAACGTGTATGTTAATTATGGTCTCTAATACTCCAAATCCTTTATTTGCTGCAGGGTTTTCATAGTTGTCCTGGTAATTCTTTCCCAAAATAAATATTTTTCAAATATACCCTAAGCCTCTTGCTGTAGAAGGAATAGCAATGGCTCTGAAAAATAAACAGAACGTTTGTTGTTCCCTCTTTATACTAAGCAGCAAATTTCACTGTTAGTAACTGAATTTTTTTTGTGCAGTTGTACTTTTCTCTTTCCAGCATTTCAGAGCAAATGCCTAGAATACCAGCTACATGGAGCTGAAGGAAAGCCAAGGAGACCAACAAAACTTGTGTCTGCACTAACCAACTTTTCTTGGATGGTGTGCTAAAATATGCAGAACTAAGTTTAATGTATAATGAAAATAATTTTTTAAAAGTAAATTGCTGATAGCAGTTTTATTAAGTATATGGGGGGGAAAAAAAGTTTCCTCTAGGTACTGTAAGGCTAATGTATTTTCTCCATTATTCAATGGGGAAAAAACCTGCCAATGTTTTGTGAATTTTTCAAATCATTTAACTGCTAAGTGCAGAGTGCAGCTGGCATGCGGAATGTAATCTTAGTTTTGCCCCTCTTATTTGGTGGGAGGAGGGAGATTGTGGATGTGGTTTTGTTTTTTTTTTTTTTTCCCCCTGTTTTCTTTTTTCTTAAATTACACGTCTGAGTGCTTCAAATGAGGTGATAGATAAGGTCTGGCAGCATTTTTGTAGTGTATTGGAAGTTTTATCTATCTACATTTAGATCTAGTACTCCCTTGGCCTCCTTGCACACGCAGGCTCCAGGCTGCTGTGTCAATACTGGATGCTAAGTCACTGTCCTAGTTTCACCGGTTTCCTGGAGCATTTTGAGTGTTATGCAATTTATACTGAGTTATATGGATGCTGCATGTGCATATTGGCAGGTGAATAAGCAGTGTGGGAGAGAAGGGGTGTTAATCCTTCCTGGATCCTCCTGTGCCTCTGGAAGACTTGTCTGCAGCCTCAG